AGCGACTAGTCAACGTCAAGCTTAAAGCGTCATGGCAGAGCATTGAAGTCGATTAGTCTGTGCAACCCCTAATATATATATATATATATATATATATATTAGACAAAGATTGTAGTACATTATCTTTAGGATCATTTGGTCCAATGAATAGAACTTTAATTATTAGTGGCATTTGTTCTGGTCTGGAGGAAATAAACAGTTGTGTGTGTTATGCAAAACAATGAAAACAAAAGACCATGTGTCCTAATATTATCACTTGAAAGAAGCATATACAAGGAAAACAACACTGGGCCTAAAGCGGAACCTTGTGGCATACCATATTTTACTGTTGTTTGGACAGTTGTCCTTTTATGTACACTCTCACACACACACACATACAAGGGATATCAATCTGACAGGTGGGAGCTAAACCAGACCTGTCCACGAATGCCAACAGGATTCTTAAGCTTGTTCAAAAGAGTGGTTCTGTAAAAGCCAGCCATAATAGTATTAGCAGTGAAATACCAAATTTAGAAGACAGAAGTCATTTGTTACCTTGACAGGTAACAAATAACTCTAAGTGTGATGGAGCCTGATACGTGACTGAAACACACTTTCTCAGCAAGAAGGAGTTGGGAGCACACAGTGTTTTGTCGTACTTTTGACAAACTACACAATCTATACATCATTTTCTGTTTATGCTTTAAACACTGTTATTTTCTCTCAGGTTTGATGGAGATGTAACCGAGAGCACCACAGGTGAGACTTCTGTAGAGACCCCTTGGAGCAGGTCTATAGAAGATCTCCATGGCGACAGCAATCTACCATCACCGGTCAGCGGCAGCAGCATACCACGATCCACACGGCACTCCATTAGGTAGGTGCATACAAACAGACACAAGCACATTTTTGTTCATTCTGAAAATTGGAATATATTTTTGCAAGACCGCCTTTAACATTGTAGTGCTTTTTTCAGGTCTAATACTTTGCCCAGTCGCAGAACTCTGAAGAATTCACGTCTAGTGTGTAAAAAAGATGACGTTCATGTCTGCATCATGTGTCTCAGAGCTATTATGAACTACCAGGTAAGCAGATTATGAATGTAATTTTTAAGAACACCTGAATTGAAAAACGGAACATAATTGTTTTAATCTCTTTTAATTTTTCCCTTTTCTATATCACACATTATTCGGCTGAAGTATGGCTTCAACATGGTTATGTCCCATCCCCATGCTGTAAATGAAATTGCTCTTAGCCTTAACAACAAAAACCCCAGGTAACCACACACATACCTGTATATATTAGTTTCTCCTAACCAACATATATGTGAAAACATTAATGATTGCCCTCAAACGTTTCTCCAGTTTCTGTGTTTAAACCTCTCGAACGGCTGATAGTGAGTTCTCTTATCTGTCAAGGCTTTCATCCAAACCCTTAAGCTATTACATTTGATCAAAGACCTTTTTTAGAAGGGCTGTTCTTTGGAAACTTAAGCTATAAATAGATGAATTGTCTGTCAGTTGTGCTGATTAAGGTCAATAGAAGATAACTGCTTGTAACTTAGACCATTCCCTAAGACCATGATACAGAATCTTTCAAAGCCGTTAAACAAAACTTAATGAATAGCTCCTTGTATAGGTGGGATAATTCCTCTGTAATTTGCCAACTATAAAACCAATAGGACCATTTGACCTGCCCCTTGGAGATTTCTTGATTGGTTAGGAGTTGTATCTGGCATTCTTAATTTTTCCTTGGAATGTTTTATCAGAGTTTGTAGCTAAGTATTTTGTGCAGGTTTGGTTTCTTGATATAAGTGTGCTTTTGTTTGCATTCTATAGGACCAAAGCCCTGGTTTTGGAGCTGTTGGCCGCTGTGTGTTTGGTCAGAGGAGGACACGAGATCATCCTTGCTGCTTTTGACCATTTCAAAGAGGTAAGAAATTATATTCTTTCTTCCATCATTTTTGCATTGTTTATTTCACGAAAAACTTAATATCGCATTGTCAGTTTTTGTCAGTACATGATATTGGAAAAAACTGACAATGCGATATTAAGTTTATCTGCTATATACAGTATATTGGGATATTAAATAATACAGGAATTTTCACCAGATAACTTAAATAGCCATATTTAAAAGTTAGTGGGTTGATTTAGGGAGTTATTTAAAAAAAAATATATATATATTTTTGAGTATGAAATCCTTTCAGGGCTGCAAGAATTGGGGGGGTTATTTTATTTTATTTTTTTACCAAAAAAAACAAACAAACAACAACAACTCAAACCTCTCAGTAACTGTTTCAATTATTAAATCTTTCCACTAAGATTTGACTCACATTCCCACTGTTTTTGACTATTGTCATGATTTTATTATGATTATTGATTGAGGCTGTGATATTATCAGAAAAATATGAAACTAACTAATGCTATAAAATAAATATGGTAAAATAAAAATCATATAATAAGAATAATGTTATTTTACTGAAAAATTTCACTAATATTTGTCAATTTCTTCATTTTCAAATGGTAAATTGTCAAGCTTTCATTTTGATGAGTTGCCGACAAATAAAAATATGCAGTGCCAGTTTCAGAGTGACTATTCACAGTAAATGAACTACACGTGAGTAAATGCTAAGCTTGAAACTGGTAAAGCATATATTTATTTAATTAAATATACATTTTATTTCAATGTCATGAAGCCTTACTCTATGAATACAAATTGTATCTTTTATTCTATATTTCAAAATAATTGAAATCATGTCATCAGAATCCTATTTTTCATAAATAGTAATACTAATATTTTTTTACATCTCAAAACTGTCTCAGCCTGTAGACAGAATATTTGATCAAATTAAAATTATGCATTTTACATAGCGATTGCAAGCAGTTCGTCTTTAAAGCAGCACTATGTAGGGCTGCACGATAAATCGAAATGGAATCGAGATCGCGATTCGACAGAAGCTGCGATTGTCATGCATATCTTTCAGTGAAGCACGGTTCTGTGATCAGCAGTAAATCTCCATCCAAAGGCCAGAGGGCGCTCTCGCGCTGAAACTCCAAATCCGCCTCAAGAAACCCAGAAAATGCCTAATGCTGCAGCTGAATAAACAGAAGATTCAACTGCTTTCATTGATTCAACGTGATTAATAAACACACGACTATGGCAATATACGGTTTATCTGAGTTCTTATTATTATAATTTTCATTAAAATAAAGTATATTTATAATGCAATGCCTTTATCACTGCTTAAATACTATGAAATATGTTGCGTGCCTTATTCTGTGTAAGAAGCCACATCACCTCACAGAAGGATTTATTTCAAACACTCGACTGACATTATGAAGTGAGTTTGGAGTAAAAATATGTTATTAAATGTGGTATTTTCATATGCTTTCAGATGAAGCAGCATTTACTTCACAGAGCCATAGTTCACTGAGAAGCTATGCAAACAGCTGTCATTATCGCGAGCGATTTCTTGGATTTCATAATCGCGCAATAAAATTGTCTGCAATATTTTTTTATTTTTTTATTTTTTGCGTAACTTGTCAGTGAACTATGGCTATGTGTAGTCAATTCTGCTCCATCTGAAAGCACGTGATGATGATTTCCTGCTGATTACAGAAAATAAGTACTTATATTTGGACTATTGTAGCCAGGTCAGGTCGTCACCGCTGCGGAGTAACACATACCTGCGTGAATCTCCATAGACATAAACTTAGAGAAGTAGCTCCGGTTGGAATGTTCTTCCGCGAGATGTGTGCAGTTCTGTTTATTAACCTCTAGAGTCCCAAAAGTTACATAGTGCTGCTTTTAAGGAAACAAAAGCAAAAAAATATTTTTTTATTTATTGTGTTCAACAATTTATATGGATGACATGCATAGTGGAATGTGTATACAGTACATACACTGGACAGAGGTAGATTGATGTAGCAGTAGTTACAAACAGATTCACAAACTTCTTAGGAAATAGAATAATAAAAATCTGCAATACATCAATAAGAAAAGAACATTGTAAGGTACAATCGATACCATCTTTTCTATGTATTGACAAGTCTCCAGGGCTGTCATTCCATCATGGCAATGAGCGTTTCGTTTCCAACACGCGCTGTATGCGGTAGACCAGTCCAGAGCCAATCTCTCTACAGCTCTGGACCAATCACAAAGGACTGCGCCATCTGACCAATCACAGCAGTGAGGGCTCACGGAAAGGAGTGGGTTTAGAGAGATTGATTCTTTGAACTGCTTCGCACAAGTTGTTTACGAATCATTTAGAAATGAGGTCAAATTAAATCTATTTTTTGAGAAAACTAACGTGTTTTTTGACCTTGCATGCATGTAAACCTGTTTTAGGAGACTCATAAAACAATATTAACAACCTTAAAAATGGCATAACGGGCACTTTATTAATATTTTGAATTACCCCAACTTACCTTTTATATTCATATTTTCAGTTTTCTTTTAAGTTTTAGTAATCGTATGTACTTTTGTCTTTTTTATATTTGTATTTAACTTTATTTTTGTTTTAGTTTTGATCATTTTAGTACTTCAACTTAAATTTATTTTATTTCAGATTGCCTAGGCAAACGTCTAATTTTTAGTTTTTTTTAATAGAATGTTTTATTTCAGCTTTATTTCTAATTAACAAAAACATTTTTGATAGTTTTAGCAATAACAATAACAACACTGGTAAAATTTTTATTGCAATTGTGAATCTTTTAAATTGTGAAGTTTTAAATTTGAGATCATTGACACACAACACAGCAGCCATGTTGTCCTGTATAGACCAACAATTTAAAAATTGCATAAACATTGATATATTATTTAATGTCATTAATGGCTAATTTGATCAATGGAGTATATGTTGAATGTCACCTAACCAAACCAGAAAACAGGTCTCATCACATCCTCTTATCTGAGAGTGTGTTTACAGCTGTATGAAATGATGGCGATAATCAGCTAACCTAGTTAGTTATTTTTTTTTTTTTTAAAGATTTATTTTTGGCATTTTGCCTTTATTAATATAGGATAGTGTTGACAGTAGACAGGAATCGATGTGGGATAGAGAGAGGAGTGGGATCGGGAAAGTTCCTCGAGCCAGGATTCGAACTCGGGACGCCTGCAATGCAACACGACACAGCTAGTTGTTTTTAATGTTAGTGAGAGGAAGAAAAATAATTTTAAAAAATTAGATATTAATCTGTATATGTGATGGACATCAGTTATGATTATCTTTGGTAAGTAAAACAGCTCTGTATTTAACAAAGGACATACAAAAGACAAACCAGAAGCAATTTGCAGTTTAAATGTTTCATTGATTGACACACTATTTTTTTTAAAGAACACTTCTAGAAATAATATAGCCATGATAACTTTATTCAATAACATGGTATAATTGAATGCATTTCTTGTTAAACGCAAAATTACCCAGGCTGTGTACCGGGACGCCAGCTCGCAAGTTCACACGCTTCGGCGGATAGTTCGTGAGAAGGATGAGACCATTCAGAGGCAGTCCACTCTGGAGAAGAAGATCCATGAGCTTGAGCGCCGAGGCAGTCTCCAGATCCAGGTGAGAGGTGAGGGAGATGGGGAAGGAGACGTGTCTCCGCTGCCGTCACCTCCTCAGCCCATGGCTCTTTCCCCCTGCCCTGATGCCATGGCTCTGGCCGGAGCCTGTGCTGGGGCAACGTACAGCTCTGGCAGCACGTCCCAGACCAGCACTCTTCGAGCAATGGCCACACCACCTCCTCCTCCCCCTCCACCACCTCCAATGGCAAGTTCCTCTGGTGAGTAATGGTTTTAACAAATCTGATGGTTCAGTACACATTTAATGAGGATATAATGAAATTATTACTTTCTAAATCTAAAGATGATTAATATTATGGGTTTTACCCAGTGTGACTGCCATAATTTTAATTAATTGGGGTGGTGTAGCCTCATGGTCTTGGGTTCAAACAGTGCCACTACTTAAATTTACAGGGCCTGAGAACTAAATGTTTATAGGTGGGCCCCCTTCCCACAGGCCCAATGAAAAGTCTGTACCACAGAGGATCTTAATGGGGCCACTTTGTCACAAGACCTGAAACAACATTCCCCTAAAAATGTCCCTGTTGCAAACTCTACAAGGGTTGATCCGTGAACTATGATGATTATCCATTTTAACTTCAGGTTTCTCCAGGGGGATTGATGGTTCAGTACACATTTAATGAGGATATAATGAAATTATTACTTTCTAAATCTAAAGATGATTAATATTATGGGTTTTACCCAGTGTGACTGCCATAATTTTAATTAATTGGGGTGGTGTAGCCTCATGGTCTTGGGTTCAAACAGTGCCACTACTTAAATTTACAGGGCCTGAGAACTAAATGTTTATAGGTGGGCCCCCTTCCCACAGGCCCAATGAAAAGTCTGTACCACAGAGGATCTTAATGGGGCCACTTTGTCACAAGACCTGAAACAACATTCCCCTAAAAATGCCCCTGTTGCAAACTCTACAAGGGTTGATCCGTGAACTATGATGATTATCCATTTTAACTTCAGGTATCTCCAGGGGAATTTTTTCTGTATTGTGTGTAAAAATGATGGTTGGCTGAATACATAATGTACATTATGAATATATTAATAGTTATAAATATATACACTAATGTAAGTTTGAGGTCAAGATTTTTTAAAAGGTTTAAGAAAGAAGTCTCTTATGGTCAAGTCTGTAATTTAAAAAAAAATAAAATTCAATGTTTCATTTCAAATAAAGAAATGTTTTATATACATATTATATATATTTTAAAATGCAATTTATTGCTGGGATGGCAAAGCTAAATATTCAGCTGCCATTACTTCAGTTTTTAGTGCTACATGATACTCCAGAAATCATTCTAATATGCTGATTTGGTGCTTGAGAAACATTTCTTATTATTATCCTAGGGTTGTAACGATATACCGGTATGACGGTTTATCACGGTTTGAACGTACATGGTTATCATACCGTAAACATTTGCATATCTACGGTTTCAAAAAAATGAATGAAAAAAAGTCACCTGCGCATACAGTATGCAACTTCTTTCCGTCAGCTGCTTCACTCTGCATTCACTTGGCTGCTTACACGCACGTACAGTGGAGAAAATGGCAGAGACAGAGATTATATCTAATCTCCATCCCTGCTGAATACTTCGGATATAAAAAACGAATGCGGGGTTGTCCTTGATGATGGATCCAATTTGCAAAAAATGTGGACACAAAGTGGCTGCAAAAGCAGGCAATACACATCCAACATGTTCGCTCATATTCGCGGACACCATTCCACCGTGCAGATAAAGGCACTAACCGTGGTGTTTTCACCAGTTCTGAGTTTTTATGGTGTTTGTGGGTACAATTATTTAAAGAGCCACCATATACAGTATATTATTATTAACCTGAACTGATTAAGTAGAATAATGTAAACATCCAAACCAATTATCAGTCTATCTCTTCTAATTAGTTATTCTTTGTTACATGTTGTAATTCTGTTAAAGAGGTCCTATTATGCTCTTTTACAAAGTCTTGATTTTGTTTTGGGGGTGTACTAGAACAGGCTCTCATACTAGGTTATTCGAAAAACATTTTTTTCCTGTGTTGAATTTTTCATTATTACAACACCTTATTAGCTCTGCTAATGTTTAATGGATAGCTTCGGGTTCGGGTCGGGCTCGGGTTTATAGCTAAACTAAAACTATATTACTCTGCTTTCATAGACGCACGCACACACATTATTGCACACGACAACACAGCATGGAAACTTTTATTGGTAAAATAGCTTCGACAGGCTACTGACTCGCAATGTTATATTTCTTTGCAATGGGGGTAAAATCGCTGTTTTTGAAGTAACTAAGTCTCATTGCTTGTAGAGAGAGACGCGCAGACGCAGGTTCACACACGCAACTTTCATACAGATGTGCTCAATTTTGCTGTCTTCAATTAACTATTTAATTGTTAGAGGTTCACATATTCTCTCTCTTCTCTTGTAGTTCCCAACGGGCCATCGGCAGCTCTCGCTGCTCCACCGCCGCCGCCGCCTCCACCTCCTCCTCCTCCCCCACCTCCTGGACACTCTATTGAGATCTCTGCTCCTTTACCCCCACCTCCTCCTCCTTGTGCTCCTCCTCTCCCAGGAAGCGGCACGCCAACTGTCATATTCAACTCTGGCTTGACAGGTATGTATGTATGCGTATGTGATTATTTCAGTGTGATTTTTTTTTAATTGTCTGTTTTAAATCATATTATTTTTCCTTGAAATAATTTTCCAAGCTCTTGTGGATTTTGGATTTTTAGAAGCATTTTCTGCTTTCTCTTTCTAGACATTTGTGCTTTATAACTCTCTAAACATTTGTTTATATCTACTCTCTCTTTTCCTGCTCTCAAAGATGGACCAATCAAGCTCTTCTGTAGGTTTCCTGATATTTGTCATGGCCGCCATTTAACTGTCCTGATCTAGTCATATTATGTGCTGTGTGTTTTTGCTTAACACGTTATCATGTATTCTTGTGATTGCATTCTTTTTAATCTCATTGAGTAGTTGTTTTGGTAGTCACAGAACACTTTTTTTTTTCTTGACAGCTGTGAAAATTAAAAAGCCAATCAAAACCAAGTTCCGCATGCCAGTGTTCAATTGGGTGGCTCTGAAACCAAATCAGATAAATGGCACTGTCTTCAATGAGATCGATGACGAGAGGATCTTAGAGGTATTTGTCTGCATCACATGGTGTGAAATGTGTGATCTCTATCAACTCTGCATGTATTACACCGCCAAGCTGGTCTACTTGAGTATCATGTTCATGTTTTGAGTTGCTGCTACATATTAGGAAGATGCCAGATGGTGTTTATTGCTCGGTTCAGTTTCAGCTCATTTTTTAAAGTACATTCTGTAACTGCTGCTACTAAAATTGCAAGAAACGACACATACAGAAAGTCAAACATCAGGGCCCTTGGCGGTTCATTGTACTTCAATAATCTGACACAGTTCCAGAGGGGAAAAAATGTAGACTGATGTTGGCTGAAGAGTAGAACTAGCCATGTTTCTGGATGGGAAGGGGTTTAGAAAAGTCATTTTTGAGGCAGAGCAAGAACATTTTGATAAAACAATATGAAGAAAATGTATTTGAAATAACCAATGGCCAGGAAGTGTTGTATGTATTTCATGTTAACTTTTATGAGGTTTTCATTTGTGGTGACTGTTAATGTTTTCGAACACCAAGTTCTAGGAGTGCTGTGGATTACAACTTTAATAGAATGCTTTTGTTTGCAGGATTTAAATGTGGATGAGTTTGAAGAAATGTTCAAGACCAAAGCCCAGGGCCCTGCTGTCGACATGACGATGCAAAAGCAGAAGGCTCCTCAGAAGGGTCCCAATAAAGTATCACTACTGGAGGCCAACAGGGCCAAAAACCTTGCCATCACGCTCCGCAAGGCAGGGAAGAGTCCAGAAGAGATCTGCAAAGCAATCCAGACGTAAGCTCCCCCTTTGCCTTTAATATCAAGATAAAGATGAACCATATTCTCTGAGATGATGTTTACAAAACTGGGATTGCTCTTGTTCATCTGCTTGTTATAACATCATTCAGTTTTTTGTTTAGTTTTTTTGGTTTGGTTTGGTTTGGTTTGTTTTGGTTTGTTGTGATTTGTTATGGTTTTTGTTTTGTTTGGTTTGGTTTGGTTTGGTTTTTGGTTTTGTTGATTTTGTGTTGTTTTTTTTTTTTTAATGGCACTCTGATCATTTTCTCTCACCTCCCTCAGGTTTGACCTACGTACAGTGCCTGTGGATTTCGTGGAGTGTTTGATGCGGTTCATGCCAACTGAAAGTGAGGTGAAGATGCTCCGCCAGTATGAGCGGGAGCGACGGCCAATGGACGGGCTCACTGTTGAGGACCGGTTCATGATGCTCTTCAGTAAGATTGAAAGGCTGCCACAGCGGATGACCATCATGGCCGTCATGGGCAACTTTAACGATAGCCTGCAGATGCTCACACCGGTAAGGTGGAATGAGAACAACAGGAATAATATCAACATTATTAATATCAACAAAGATCAATCTAAAATGCATTTATACATTTGTCTGTTTGCTGTTGCTGTTTTTCCTACAGCAACTGCATGCTATCATAGCAGCATCTGTATCCATAAAATCATCACAGAAATTAAAGAAAATCCTTGAGGTAAGCCAAAATAACTTTAATGTCACACAGTTTCTTGCCGTTTTAGAGCCTTACTTGTAATTATGTGATATCTCTCTTTTCAGATCATTTTGGCCCTTGGGAACTACATGAACAGTAGTAAGAGAGGAGCCGTTTATGGCTTCAAACTTCAGAGCTTGGATTTGGTAACTTATTACATTTCATAACTCTTTGCAAAGCTAAAAACCATGCACTTTTTGACATTATTACATTTATTCTGACATTATTAACACTATTAAGTTTTTTATTATAATACTATAATATTTCCTGCCATTAGCTGTTGGAGACCAAGTCCACAGACAGGAAGCAGACACTTTTGCACTACATAGCCAATGTGGTGAAGGAGAAATATCCTGTTGTATGCGTTTTTTACAATGAGCTGCACTACATTGAGAAAGCTGCTGCAGGTAAGTCTCCATCAACCCTGAAAATATATTTAAAATGTACTAATTAGAAATTGTTCATTATATTTCTAAATTAGTGCCTAACTATTTTTTTTAGTTGAAGCTAAAATATAAATATTAGATTTTTTTTTTTTTTAAACTTAAATGAAAATTGGAAATGCTGCCTTGGTAATTAATGGAAATAAAATAAGTTTGAGATAAAGTACTGAAATAAATAAAACTGAAATCAAAACAAATTAAAACTAAATAGAAATATAAAAGTGACAAGCACATAAAAAAAATCACTGATACTTAAATTAAAAAGAATACAGTATAATTCAAAGTTAATAAATTCTATAATCCATAAATAATACTAAAATAGCACTTTCTAAATACATTTTAAAATGTTCTTAGGTCTCACATTAACAAAGAAATACAAAAAAATGTTGTCCTCTAATATTCATTTGTTGCTCTAATATGCTAATGTGTTATCTGGTTGATTCTACAGTAAGTTTGTTTTTGACTGTGGATCTCATTATTCCCATGTTGCAGTCTCACTGGAGAATGTTCTCCTGGATGTGAAGGAGCTACAGAGAGGTATGGATCTGACCAGAAGAGAGTACAGCATGCATGGCCACAACTCCCTGCTCAAAGACTTCATCCATCACAACGAGGCCAGACTGAAGAAGCTCCTGGATGATGCTAGGATTGCACAGGTAGAAAAAAGAAGGCTATAGGGTATTGCGGTTTAAAAATCTGAGCTGGTAGTGGTAAGGCTGTAGGTTTGAATCTCACAAGGGATAATCCATGTTAATGTGGCTTGCGTGTAATTACAGGATGCCTTTGACGATGTTGTCAAATTCTTCGGGGAGAGCCCCAAGACCATGCCACCCTCTGTGTTCTTCCCGGTGTTTGTTCGCTTCATCAAGTCTTATAGGGTGAGTCTATCAGTGCATCAATTTCCTCTTTGTTCACACAAGGCCCAGATCTAATTTGTCATTGTTTTCAGCAAGCGGATGAAGAGAACGAGCAGAAAAAGAGGCAAGAGCAGCTGATGATGGAGAAACTTCTGGAACAGGAGGCCATGATGGAGGAGCACGAGAATCAACAGGTATGATGAGATGGGAGCTGTAGTAGAGCACACTAGGGCTGGATTGAAAATATCAGTTTCTCGATTTTTATCAGTTCTCATTTTGATAAACCAAAAATGATTCTTAAATAATCCCAAAAAATTATCTTTTACTTTATGCTGTTTTCAGGTGGTGTGTAAACAAGACTTTACACACATTTTATAGCATGCCTTCCATCCAACAAACTATTGATTGAAACTGTGTCACATTTCAAATTCTGTCAATTTTATTATGAAATTCGAACAATAAATACCATTTTGGCACTCTTTAATGTGATGTGATAGATCGCTGTAGCTGCCTTAGTTCAAGCAAAGTGCCATGCACATACTCTCTTCCTTTTTACTACTAGTTACAGCACAGAATAAACATAAATGAACATAAGTTTGAAAAATACAGTACAACATACTAAAATATATAATGTATATTGTAATCATACAACCAAGTGTTTCAACTTGAAAGTCGTCAATAAAACAGCTTGTAAATGTAACGTTACATTTACTTCAGGAAAGCCATTCAATGATCATAGCTTGATAGTTAACTATAAAAATTTACTTTAGAGAGAGCATTTTGCTAAATATATGTATTATATTATATAATCGTTACATGTTTACTTCCTTGTTCTTAAATATTTAATGTACACTATGTTAAAAAATTTGGGATCGGTAAGATTTTTAATATTTTTTACCAAAGTTTCTTGTGCTCATCAAGGCTGTATTTATTTGATCAAAAATACAGAAAAAAAAACTTATTTTGTGAAATATTATTGCAATTTAAAATAACAGTTTCTATTTTAATATACTTTAAAATAGAATTTATTCCTGTGATGCAAAGCTGAATTTTCAGCATCATTACTCCAGTCTTCAGTGTCACATGATCCTTCAGAAATCACTCTAATATGCTGATTTATTATTATTGTTAGAAACAGTTGTGCTGCTTCATGTTTTTTTGGAACCTGTGATACTTTTTCAGGATTCAGGATGGATAAATGTGACATTGAACACTTCTGTTTACCTGGGATCTGGCATCTCGATTTAATGGACTGTTTTAAAGAAAGCAAGATGAAGAAAACATGAAGTGTTGTAGGGCGACCATATTTTAGTTTTCAAAAAAAGAGGACAGGGACTCTAAATATGTAAGCTCTAAATATGTCATTTCCATTCCTAAAATACATATTTTACAGTTACTGTTATGCATATTGATTTTAAACACAGCTAAAAGGCTTCCTACCTTCACAAAACGTAACTTCTACCACCGTTTTAGCATAGGTAGAAATCAAAATGTTTTGAAACAATTGAACAATACAAGCATTTCAGTCAAATGTAATTTATGCAAAATTTCAAATCTTTAACCCACGGGAGAAAACCAACCCACCGCAACTGTTTAAAATCAGCCCAGTTCCGTGCAAAAAAATGTGGATTTGGCAACCCTGCATCCAACACGAGCTACATCCAAAATGATTTAAATACTCCACATATTGATAGCGGCTCCTTGATGCGTGAAAATTATATTCGATATTAGAATGTTTGCGGGAGCAGGCTGTAATAGTCAGAAATTGGGAGCAGGATTAAGAAAACAGTCCCGTGCAGGGCTTTAATACAAAAATGCACACAATGAATGGTGACTGTAGAAAGCAAAAGCCGAATCCCGGACATTTCGGGCGATTTACAAAACATTTTTTTAGGTCCAAAAAGAGGACATGTCCGGGGAAAAGAGGAGGTATGGTCATCCTAGTGTTGGATGCAATGTGGATTCTACAAATGGACATTAGGAAGAAGATTGTGGTTTTTGTGTTTAACTATTTAGTTTTGTGACATTGTGTATTATGTACAAGACAGAGCAGAAATGCCAAAGTCCTTGGATTGGCCCACCACTTTTCATTTTCATTGTCATTTAACCTCTGGTTCTAAAACTCCAAACTGAGCAGCTTTTTCTGAGGTGGACGATTTACAAGATGCACTTTTAATTTTAATTTTTTTTTGTACTTTGATCGTCTTAAAACTGAACTTTTGATTAAAAAACAAGATGAAGTGCGAGAGGGAGATTCGATCTTAAGCTGGACTTGATACTGTAATGCTATTGAGGATTACTCTTCTTTGCGGACTGAAAAATAACATGAAATGTTGAGAAAATGTTTACAACCAAGCATTCACAACCAATGTGACATTGTATGTACAATACATCTCATTTTAATCACAGACTTGCTCTCCTACTGGTTTTATCTCATGTGACATTTGTGAGCTGTGGAAAAGAGTTTGCTTTTTTTTCTTTTCTTTTTTTAAACGAAGACATTTCATTGGACAAAAAAAAGTCTTCTTTTTTTTTTTTTAAATGTACAGATATTTTGCTACAAAATTGAGCCTCTTATTTTTTACATTGTTCATCCATTGTGGTGCTCTACATATTGTTGAAACAAACCAACTTGTCCTGCAGTATCACTGGAATGTTATTAACTTTTATGTTGTTTAGTATGACAGTATTATTTAATCTGACGGTGAAGACAGTGAATCAACTTACTCTGTGACCTAAATTGCTCTCTCATCACTTGTTGCATATGGTAAATATCTGTGGTTGCACGTAACACTTGAAAGCTTGAACAGACACTAGTGGCACATATAACTTTTTTCTACTTTGATCTCTTTAACTGGAATCAGTGGTTGTGTGCAAATAAAGCAATGACACCAGCACCATTAAAAACAGTGATTCTTTTGTGTGGTCGATGCAAGAATTCATTTTTATTTGACTGAAAATCTGGATTGACAAGTGAGGACATTCAATGATAAATGTGCTGCTGGAGCTACTTGAAAATAAAAGTGGTATGGGCACCTAATGCTGCCACAAGGTGGTAGCAAGCCCTTGTGTTCAAGGACCTTAGCCATCTCTTTTTAGCCCCAGCTCCATGGAACAGGCATTTATACTAATAAACATGGAAAGATTACAGTTAGTAATTTATTTAAACTCTATTATTTTATTAAAACTATTTAATTATTCTTTTAAAAAAGTGCCTATTTCTGTGACAACACTGTTACTGTGATCTGCAATACTAAAAATGAAATGAAACTCTATACTAATAAACATGGAAAGATTACAGTTAGTAATTTATTTAAACTATTATTTTATTAAAACTATTTAATTATTCTTTTAAAAAAGTGCCTATTTCTGTGACAACACTGTTACTGTGATCTGCAATACTAAAAATGAAATGAAAATCATACACAAAATGACTAATATTTTGCTATATGTTGTAAAAGAAGCGAGATACGTTCAGCATAAATTATCCGATAAAATGCTTCAAAATACTTGAACGGTGAAACTTAGACCCTCATTTTTCAAATATGTGATGAACAATGCTTTCCTTTCTGTATTTAAAAAAATGTACATAAATTGCAATAGGTGAATCATCTAATTTTCAACCACTTCAGTTCAATAGTTTTAAGAGTGCTGAAGAAGTGTTCCATGAAAGAACTGTGAAAAACAAGTGAAATAATACAATAGATGTGTTTACAGTGAAAATTACTCAAAAAATGTAAAAACGTACTCCAGTAATTAACAGAAGCGTTTATCCAAAATGAACAGACCATAACGATTGTAACATATTTCTGAAAATTTGTTAGATGACATTTAACTTGAAATATTAAGTTGTTTTTCAGTTATGAACTTATGTAAGAAAAAAAAAGAATAAACCCAAGCAAAACACATGAGAAAAAAAATATGTATTCATGTAAGTAATATTTCTTTCATGATTACATTTTTCTTTCACATTATCTCTTACAACAGTGACAAACTCAAACCAGTCTGTGGTCAGTCTGCATCAAATTATTATTTATATATATATATATAAATATCACTGGAGCACCGAATCCCAAAAGCAATAAGAAAAGACTTTTGACGTTCGTTACATGAAATTAAATTAAAGCAGGAGTATCATTAATAACACCTACCAGTCTGAATTAAAACAGTTCTGTGTGCTAAAGATTTAATGTGTAACAAGTACTTTTGTTTATTGACAAAAGTATTTGTATAAATATTTGTATATTTGTTACATCCAATCGTATGGTCGTATTGCACGGGTCGTCGATAACGATTGGACAACACGATAATGTAGGCGGTGCTTCACAAATACGGAAGCAGCACAAACCGCGATGTTTTGAAACTGTTCAACGTTTGACCATTTTCAAATTACTACACACTGTGTTCAGCGAAATCCGCTTTTAAATCAGTTGTATTTCTCGTTGAACTGTATAAAACGTATTTAACACGCATTGTACAAATCAAGTGAAATTAACCATTTGAAAAGGGAGATTTACTAGCGTGCTAACTAACTAGCCAGTTGTCTAGGAAACGGAAACGCGCAAACTAAAAACGCAGGATGTGACTCACTAGCCAACAATTTCAACTTAAGAAACTTTTCTTGGCGACCATGCTGCGGTTTGTCAGCGATAAAGACGGCCAATCTTTAGACATTTATTCTGATGATGAAGATAATGCTGCATTAGCAGGAAGAAGAAACATGTCGGAGGAAACGAATGCAGCTTCACGTGAAAGCAGCGCAGCGCCTGGGCGGCAACCCTTACGCCAGCGGTACTGGAAAGACACACACCTGTGGCCCGCTCGAATAGTCGCTGTGCTATGCAGCGTAGTCATCGTCTCATTCATCGCTGTGCTAATCTCCTTTTTGTACATCGTATTAAAAGGTAAACCAAATTCATATCTATTTCTCAGAACCCTCCTCATGAAGTTCAAGCATGTGCAGTGCCTAAATATATGAATTATGGCTTAATTGGATTAATAATTATGTAATCTATAGATCTAAGAGCAGAGAGGATAACCACTGAAGATGGATCAGAAGTGAGACTCCTGGGTAGGTCCAAATTAGACGTAGTGTATTGTAACATGGTGGCTGAATGTTGTAAAACAGGACTTTTTTTCTTGCAGGTTTTTGGAGTATTTTGGTGTTGTCTTCTGTGGCTGGAGTTCTTTGTTGTAGCTTCTCCTGGACCCTAACTTACTTTGACTCCTTTGAGCCAGGAATGTTTCCCCCAACTCCTCTTTCTTCAGCCAGACTCAAGTGAGCATGTTTTATCTCTTTGCACAATTAAATCAACAAACCTTATTCTCTAAAGCACAACCATGTAGCACACTGTCAATTTTTTTTGTTCCCGATATAGTTCTGCTCATAATTTTGCATAACCCTTGCAGAATATGCAAGATGTTGATCATTTTAGCAATATAAGGGGGAATAAAAATTGCATGTTATTTTTGTTCTGTAGTACTGTCGCGAATAAGCTATTTAAAGGGATAGTTCACCCAAAAATGAAAATTAGATATTTATCTGCTTACCCCCAGGGCATCCAAGATGTAGGTGACTTTGTTTCTTTAGTAGAACACATTTGATGATTTTTAACTTTAACCGTTGCAGTCTATCAGTCGTATAATGCATGACAATTATCAACAAAATCTATGAGAGTAAAAAAAAACATGCACAGACAAATCCAAATTATACCCTGCGGCTCGTGACGACACGTTGATGTCCTAAGACACGAAACGATCAGTTTGTGCGAGAAACCGAACAGTATTGATATAATTTTTTACCTCTAATACACCACTATGTCCAACTGGCGCGCGCACGGCATCCGGTGCGTGAGGTGTGTACGCGCTCTGGCGTAGTTTACGCAAACGCCGGAAGTGATCTCTCGCGCGTATACGTCACTCATTGTTTACACAGTGCACAGTCATTGTAGGTACGACGGCTAATCAAAATGGTACTTACTT